TGTGTGTGTGTGTGTGTGTGTGTGGGTGTGTGTGTGTGGTGTGTGTGTGTGTGTGTGTGTGTGTGTGTGTGTGTGTGTGTGTGACGTGTGTGTGGTGTGCGTGTGACGTGTTTGTTCGTGGTGTTTCATCATTTACGACTGGTTCTTTTCCCTCATCCACCACCACCACCACCACGTTCACGCCGCGCGACTGCAGATGAAATCGCGGGTGCACGGTGACCTGTATGCGGGGCTGCAGGATCTCGCCATTGTTGGCGGCACGACGCTGCTGCCGCTGCTCAAGAAGGCCGTGCACGACCGCACACGCGCCATGCTCCCCTGCCTCGGGCCTGCCGCATGACGCGCGGGGGCTGTTGTGTGCTGTGTGTGTGTTTGTGTGTTTGTGCTTCTTCGTTTTTGTGTGTGTTTGTGTGCGTTTTCACTCTATCTCTCTCTGTTTCTGTACGTGCTTGAGCATCTTCGTGTGCATCGCTCTCGATTCACATTCCAACTCGTGTAAACAGTCAACCCGATCAACTGGCCACATGTTGCAATCAAACAACCTTCACACACACACTGTTACGGCAAGGTCGATCGATTTAATCCGCTTGTAAAGTCAATGTGTCAAGTGTAACGTAACTCGTGGGGCGCACACATATGTACACGGCCTAGTTCATCAAAGCGTCATCCTCAGCATAACGACAACAAATGCAATCGCACGTCACACCACCAATCTTTCATCACTCAGCTTTCTTGTCTGCCTTGTCTTTCCTCTTCTTCTTCTTACCCTTTGTGCTTGCGTCTTTCGTCGTCTTGCCCTCAGCGCTACCACTGGTCTTCCCTTCACCCTTTGGTCCTTTCTCTTTCTGCTTATCCTTCTTGCCTTTGTCCTTCTTTCCTTTCTTCGTGTTCTTGTCCGTCTTGCAGCCGTTCTCCTTCACCTCTTCTGCCTCCGCACCTTTGCTCTTGTTCTGCTTCTGCTTCTTCTCCTTTTTCTTCTTCTGTTGCTTCTGTTGCTTCTCTTTCTCTGCATCCTGCTTGCTCTGGTCTTGTGTACTCCTCCCTTCCTTCTTGTCCTTCTTCTTCTCTTCCTTCGCCTTACTCTGCTTCTTCTTGTTCTTCTTCTTCTTCGCTACTGCTTCCTCTCCACCAGCATCGTGTTGCTTGGTCCTCTTTGCCCGTTTGCTCTTCATTTCACCGTCGCCATCACCATCGTCGTCATCACCACTTCCTTTCCTCTCCTCCTCCTTCTTCGCCTTCTTCAATTTCTTCTTGTCCTTCCTCTTCTTGTCCTTGTCTTTCTTCTCCCTTTTCTCCTTCTTTGCTCGCTTGCTCGCATGCCCATCTTCATCCCCACTGCCACCACTACTGCTGCCACTGCTGCTACCGCTGCTTGTGTGCTTGCCTGCGCCGTTCCCCTGCACACCGGCACCCCGGCTCTTCGCCATCTTCGCCTCGGCCTCCTCCAGCCGCTTCAGTTTCCCGCCAAGACCCAGCCCGTGACGCGCAGCCCTGGCAGCGTGGTGTGTGTGTGTGTGTGTGTGTGTGTGTGTGTGTGTGTGTGTGTGTGTGTGTGTGTGTGTGAACACGTGTGGTTGTGAGTGAGACAGAGAAACAAAACAGCAAAGGGAGAAGGTGTGTGAATGGATCTGCGTTCTTGTCGCCACGTATGCGCGCCGCTCCCATGCTGCTGGACTGCATCATTAGTGCCACGCATCAAAACACCGCACGCTCCTCGCCACACGCACATACACACAATGACACGCACTTGTGGCCGGTGAGGCCGCCGCACGCCTTGAAGAGCTCTTCATCGCTGATCCTGAGTACCACACGCACACATAACACCAAGCATGGTGAGGGATTCTTTCCCACGCACACTGACACGCGCAAGCACACACGCACACATATGCATACAGAGTACACGCACAGTGACGAGCACACACATGCATACAAGAGTACACACATATGCACACACACCACTACTCACGCCATGGAAAAGTCCCTGTCCTTCTTTTCCTGGACAATCTCGGTGTCATCGTCTTTGTACTTGGCCTGTAAAGTTCACAGCATGGCACACAAGCAGCACCATTTGCAATCATCGGCGTGAGACACGCGTGTTGCTGCAACCACACTCCGATCCACGAACACAGCCAACGAACACACACCCACACACCCACACACCCACACACCCACACACACACACACACACTAACAAACATATACACACAAACACTCTTCACGAATGAACACACAGAATTGTGTTTGCTCACCTTGACGAACATGCCGTAGAACCTGGCCTTGAGCACTTTGCGCGGTTCTGATGTTGACAACTCTCCCAGTTCCTCCTTGCTCACCACTTTCACCTGGAGTCGCAAATAAACAACGGTCAGATCGCCAGCGCAAGTCAGCTCAATGCACACGCGCATATACACACACACACACACGTTCAAACAAGAGTTCGCTCTTGGTGTTGCAACACTCACCTCATCATCATCGTCGTCACTGTCGCCATTGCCTGCACTGCTGCCGTTGGAGATCTGGATGTTCTCTGCGGCGCGGTTGAAGGCGTGATCCCACCATGCAAACGTAAACTTTTCCTTGTCATCGCCGCCCAGCCCAGCCTTGTCAAACTTGAGTTTGGGCTTGATCGCATTGGCGCGGCCTTTGAACGTGCGTCCAAGTCCTTGGCCTGCCACAGTGTAAGGCAACATGTGTATGTGTGTGTGTGTGCGTGTGTGAATCCACAGCGTACGTAGCGACGTACGAGTCATACTCACACACACAGACAGACACACACAGACACAGACACAGAGACACACACGCAGACACACCTTCTTGCCAGCCTTGAGCACGAAGCAGCGCTCGCACATCCATATCCGTGCACGTGTGAGGTCAATTTTGCCTTTGTTCAAAAGTCAACTTTGCTGTCGTCTTTAGTGAAAATTGCACAGAATCGACAACTGCGGGTGGTGCGCTGCCACACAAAGGACACAGAACAGGCGCCATCCTGATGCATACCATCCTCACACGCTCCAGGCGCAGACGCCAAGACACGCAACACACGCCACAGAGACGAGTAAAGACAACTCAAAAAAAAAAAAAAAGCACTGGATGATAATCAACACAAACACACAAACAGGAGTTGTGGAAACAGCGAAGAGGTCAGGAACAGCAACAGCAACAACAACAACAACAACTTAAACAACAACAACAACAACAACCCAAAGGAACGACAAGCGTAGTGGGGAATATGCATGCATGTTTTGACGACAATAGACAAAGCAAGCAGTCAATTTCGAGTCGTTCACGCGGCAATTGGTTAGATAAACAAAGCAAACAAGCAAGCAAGAAGAGAGAAGAGAGAAGAGAGAAGAGAGAAGAGAGAAGAGAGAAGAGAGAAGAGAGAAGAGAGAGAAGAGAGAGATGCGCACATACACGCACGCACATACACTCACGCACATACACTCACGTGCACGCGCACAAGCTCACGCACGCACACAGAGTAGTTGGTCAACAGGACAGCGCCGACGTGCGGTGTCACTTGTTCTTCCTGGTCTTGGTTGTGCTGATGGGCTTCATCTTGAACGGCTTGTCCATGTTTGACTGCACGGGCGCATGGCCGTAACAGCAGAGAGCACGTGAGCGCAACAGTTCACTCAACAAGCGCAGAACAAAGTGGCAAAGAGCAGCGGTTCAAACCCAAGACCCAAGGTACAAGAAAGCAGTGAAACACACAGACACCCACACACGCAGGCACAACCCCCCCAACACACACACACGCACACGCACCGCGAGGAGAGTGAGGTCATCTTGAAGGTCGTGTGCGGGCAGCAGGAGATAGTCCGCTTGCCGGTACTTGAACTCACGACGCACCCGTCGCTTGGTTGGCTTTGGCTTGTTGGTTTTCCTTTCAAACGCGCAAAGCAAGCAAGCATGCGTTGAAGCGCACACAGGCACGTGTGAGTGAGTGTGTGAGGTTGACTAGATGCGCGCGCGTGTGTGTTTGTGCCTGTTGGGTGAGCCATGATTACAAGTCCTGAAAAACACACACACACAGACAAGACAGACAGAGGCGCCAAACACAGTACACTGCGACTCACTTTCCGTTCCTGCTCCTCAGCGTGCGCTTGGTGACTGCAATGCGAGAGGCAGTATCCCCAAACATGAATAGCAATCGAGCGGGAAGAACAGTGCACAGACGCATCGCGCAAAGCAGTTCAATGATCCAGCGCACGCAAACAACGCACACAAGCACGCGCGCACGCACACACAGCGCCTCTGCATACACATACACACAACCAACACCCCATACTCAGGACTCACTTCCTGGCTGGATGCCGGAGAGCTCTTGGGTGACGACGGTGATGGCGTTGTCGTCTTGGAGATCGGCCAGCGCGCTCTCAACGCCGTCAAGCGCATTGCGAAGGTCCGCCTCCAACTGCTGCCGACACGCCGCCAGCTCCTTCTGCACGTGTGTACGGGTGTGTGTGTGTGTGTCGCGTACAACGGTGTCAGTGAATGGCATCGTACAGTCAAGTAGCTACAACGCAACAACAGTAGCAGCAGCTACAACGCAACAACAACAACAACAACAACAACAACAACAACAACAACAACAACAGCAGCAGCAGCAGCAGCAGCAGCAGCAGCAGCAGCACACAGCGCAGCGAGGAACCGCACCTCTCGCTCGGCCTTTGCTCTTGCCACCTCCGCTTCAAACTCTTCCTCGATGTTCTCCGCCTAGTGCAAGATGTTCATGAGCACAACGGTGGCGAGGGCGGCAATGATGCGAAGGGTGAGCACATGCGCGAAGCAACTGCACAGAACACACTGTGACTGTGAAGATACATACACGTACACATACACACACACACACACACACACAAACACACACACACATATGCACTCGAACAGGCAACCCACCCAAACAAAACGAGCACCCTCACTCACAAAGCGCAACGCTGTCGAATCAAGGACTGCGGATAGCCTCTTGAACTCCTTTTCCTCTTCCTTCAACGCCTGATGGTACTCCGAGCTCTCTCCTGCATGTGTGCGCGTGTGTGGATTTGGATGAGCGGAGGCGTCAAGGCACAACAGCAAGGCAGGACCAGCCATCGAAAATTTGTTGGAATCATGGCGAAAATTAGGCTTGGTGAGGTTTTGGTGTCGCTGTCGCTGTCGCAACACGAGCAACCAGCCAGCGGCTGCAGCCATGACACCGCCACCAGCAGAAGCAGCCGCGGCTGCAGTTGTTGACCAGGGGTCCAGGTGTACCTTTGAGGGTGGCAATGATGGCCTTGATGCCGTCTTGCTTCTGGTGCTTGAATGCCCTGCATCGCACAGCCACAAACGCACACAAAACAGGAAGAAGCAGCAACAACAGCAGCACGAACGGAGATCATGGAACAATGTGCCTTGTGAGCAGCGTGTGCAGCTCACATGGCGCAAAAGCAGCTTCACACGTATGAAACAAACAAAGCAAGAACAGTGCATGCGCAAGAGAGCACAAGCCCATGCAGTGAACAACAAAGGAGCTCACTTGGCACGGTAGTCGATGAGGTTGGGGTCAGCGCGGAACACGTATGTGTCGAGGTTCTGCAGTGATTGCGGGCCGTCAGCGTTCTTGGCGCTGCTGGTGTTCTTTGCTTGCCTGCGTGCCCGCTTGCGAGGATGGGCCTGCAGCTGCTCATCAGCATGCGGATCTACCAACCAGCAAGGAAAGATGTGTGTGCGTGTGCGTGTGCGTGTGTGTGAATGTGTGCTCAAGGCGCAGTCCAAGTGAATGAAGTTACACACATCATGATGGCTGGCTGACTGGATGGCCTGCGCGTGCAGCTGATCAGGGTGTTGATGCTCTGCCAATCATGCCCACACACGCACACATGCACACACGCACAACATGATGAACCAGAACACACAGCACAACACAACACTACCCAGCACAACACACCTTCGGAGTCGGTGGAATGGCCCGAGTGCGCGTCTGGGCGAAACATGATGATGGTGTGCTGTCCGTGGTGTGATATGGACGAACGAAACGGACACGAGTGGAACAGAGAGTCAACACACCACACACACACACACACACACAAACAGACAGCCAACTGCACTTGGCGGCGTTGGCTGGCTGGGCTGCTGGGTTGTGGTTGGCGCTGCTGCTGCAAGCGGTGCTGATACTGTGGGTGGAGTGTTTGGTGCGGTGGAACGGTCGTTGTGGCGGCGGTGCGTTTGTGCAAGCGAGCAAGCAAGCGAAGGTTGGAAGGGGAAGAGGAACGAAGGCAAAAGCCCAAAAAGAAAGAGCGAAAGGAAAAAAATCTTCAGGAATTGTGCGGGTGTCCGGGAGAATTATCATAAATAATTTCAATAAAGAATAGTTGCCAAATCATCCATGGTTCCTCCAGCTTGTTGTTGTTGTTTTGGCGTTCAGTGGCGGGGTGTTGTTGTTGTGTTGTTGTTTTGTGCGCAGTGTTGTTGTTGTGTTGGGTTTGTCGCATTTCCTTATTCTTTTGTCTCGCGCTTGCCAACAGACCACTGGCTGTCGTCTCTCACCACCATCATGTCTTCCGCCATCCTTCGCTCCCTCGCTCGCGGTACGGACGGTCACGGGGGATGGAGTAGTGGGGGGGGGGGGGGTGTTGCTGTTGTTGTTTAAGTTGTTGTTGTTTAAGTTGTTGTTGTTGTTTAAGTTGTTGTTGTTGGTTGTTGTTTAAGTTGTTGTTGTTTAAGTTGTTGTTGTTGTTGTTTAAGTTGTTGTTGTTGTTGTTGTTGTTGTTGTTGTTGTTGTTGTTGTTGTTT